CATTTACAAATCACAAGTGGAAAATTTCATGACTGGCCTCATGTGACTGATCACAGTCAAAATGCAAATGAACTAAAAATATTATATAAAATTGCCTTATGGCTATGCAATAAGGTGTATACCAAACATAAATGAATCTGTGTTTAGACTTGGGTCCCATCTCCAATACGTTTGTGTATGCAAAATTCCAAAGTTAAGAAAAATCCCGAATTCAAAACACTTATTGTCTCAAGCATTTTGGATGAGGACTATTCAGCCTGTATGTAATAAGCCTGACTTCATCTTTTGGAAATATGAAAGAAAAGGATGTGCCTACAGTGAGTGAGACCAGGGGTCAGGACTCAGATTGCCTGTGCTGGCTATGTAGCTTGGGGAAAGTCAAGTGTTCGTCTGAAGCTTTGGTTAACTTACTATAGAGTAAGGAGAATAAAGAATTTTCCTCAAGTGGTTATGGTGGGGGACATACTGAACTGAGGAAGGCAAAGCATAATGTAAGCTCTCAATAAACATTATGGTGCTCCTTACTATTGTTATTGCTATTGAGTGTCCCGTAAGTAGGGAAAAATTTTTCTTACTCCATTCTTGACATGCCACTGTCTAGTAGCTTGACAAGCCAGACTGCAGTTTTAAGTAGACAATGAGGCTGTGCTTATGTGGAAGATCTTGGATAAAATGGTTCAAAATTGGTCCCAACTTTCTGGGTGTCATACATAATTAAAAATTTGTCCCATTAAGTGAGAGAAAAGATGGTCTACATCATGAGTAGGCATTTGAAGGAACATATACCCAGGAAACAGAGAAAAGAGGTTTCTATCATTTTGTTTCTCTACAGAAGGCAATATTCTGCTAGAGCTATAGCAACTAAAATGACCAACCAAATCACCTATCTGATTAGAGAATGAGTCTCTGCATAGAAGATGTAGTGTCAGGTATGTTGGTATATATTTAATTTATTTTGAATTGACCTTTGCATACTTCCTCTTATATGAGCCCATAGACCATGGAACATATTTTTAATGTTGTAATAAAAACACTATATTGTAAACAGGTTGTATACAGTTCATTTGTTTATTCTACTATGCTATGAAACCCTTAGTGTGTTTATCTTTGTTTCCCAAATATATAGCACAAAGTCTGGAACATTTTAATTATTTAACCAAATTATTTTTTATACAGGTAAATGAATAAATAATGACAGTCAGAGGTACATTATATCTTCCATTTTCTCTTTTTTTCTAGAGGGAACAGGAATGGCAAACATTCATCATACAGACTGTCCCATCCTTTGGTGTGGCTTCTTTATTACACAATACACTCAAATTCACACTATGTCTGACAGAGGGTGCAATTTGAGTCAATGCTTCTGACTGGGCCCAATTGGTTAGAAAAATGCCTAGTTGGTGAAGGAGTTGCCCAAACTTTAACAAAGCCCTCCTGACTGTTTATCTCTCAGAAGAGATTAACTGCTTCTCTTAGCAGATGTGTGATCTCCTCCTTAGTGTCAGCCAGACTCATTTCAGGTTTTATTTTGATAGGGCTTAGACTACCAGGCAGCAAGAACTGTCTGTTTATTAAGGTGTTGCCAATGTTACTCCTTCAATGACTGTTATATAATATGTATCCCCAAATCACTGGGTTCAATTAATTTTCATCATTCACTCATATACCAGACATACCACATCTCCCTAAGGTGTCTGCAGAGAGAAAAACCGTCTGCTTCAGTCCTTTCCATAAATTCTTCATCACCTAAGAAACCTGTGGGGATCGCAGAGGACAGGGCATCTTACTGAAGCTTGGAAATTCTATGGGCCAGTATGATCCAGATTAACCTCAGATTCATTCTTCTGGGGGCCAAAGAGGATGGGAGAGAGATCAGGGTAAAAAATCCAACATGCACAGGTACTCCTGACTCACTGTGGCTGACATGCTTTTAATTCTCTTCACATTCTCCTCTAAGGTCTTGGTACAGTAGGAAGAGCCTGGGTCTGGGTGTGTTAGAATGATTATAGGAACAGAACCAAGAACTGTGGGTTCTGGTTTCAACTCTGCTCACAATTGCATTAAGTAAACATGACCAGATATTTTGTCATCCTAGGTTCAGTTTATACAGATGTAAAATGAACACAATTAAAATTTTTTTTTAGCATTTGGCATCCACACTATAAGAACTCCATACTTTTAATTTTATCATATTTCAAACTATTTCAAGCTTCTCTCTTTAGTCATCACCACTGTAACTGTCACTGGGTATGGTATTGACAAGTCAATCTGGATGACTGTTTTCCCCAGTTCCCTCCCAGTATGACATTTCCTGTTGACTCTGGACAAAGGAAATATTCCCCTTAGGCTTGTGGCAACCTTTTGGTCTAGATACGCATGTAAGGACATGGAGAGACATGACATCCCTCTGAAAGTCATGGGAGTCACTTTGCTCCTCCCAGATGGCCCCTCCTGTAAATTCAGTTATGTTAGAGTAATCCCCCAGAGAAATTTAGATTCCCTGTACACTGGAAGATGTCTTTTTTCATGGATACAAAAATACTCAAGTGTTCCTCCTAAATGGAGTAATTTCCTTAGTGTCAACCTGGCTTGAACAGTCCCAACCTTCTAACTATCACTCTTGTTCAATTCTCCTTCCTCCTATGGTAGACAAAGAGGCATTAAAGATGCACCTTGTTTCACATAGAAAAAGGAAAGAATATAAGTTTCTAAAGTGCCTCTCAGAGTACTGAGTTCAACTTGTGTCTATCCACTACACCTAAGAAGAAGCATGAGGCCTGCTTTGTCCTACTCCTGCTCCTAATCCATGAGTCACACCATAGCCTACAGTGGACTGAGTATTCTGCTCTGACTGAGAGCACCTGGAAGCTTATTCTCTTGAAAGAAACTACCACGAAATGGTGTCTGGTTGGTGTGACCCCTGCTGGGTACAGGGGTGGCTTCCGAGCTTCACCAAGAAGAGCCTATGGGAGCAAGGCCACAGGTTTCGGTCCTACAAGTCCAGTTCAACTTGCTTTATTTCCTAATTAGAATCAATGTACCATCTATAAACTGTTCCAGGCTTCCCAATGGGAAATGGAATAGGGAATGATTCGGATGACTCTATGCCATGGTGTAAGGGAATGAATGTCTTTTGGATACTTAAGCACTTTCCATTTAATCCTCATAACATGTCTGTGTGGTAGAGTGATTAATAATGCCTTTTCTTTTTTTAAACAGAGAATGAAACTGAAGCTCTGAGAGTTTAACTTGTTCAAAAGAGCAAGGAATAAAATCCACGTGTCCTCTGACTCCCAAGCCTATTTCTCCAATACAACATGTAATTTCCCAAAATATTTGCTGTGATTCAGGCTCATTTTTTTTAAAAAAATATGAGTAGTAGATGATCAAAAAATTTCCAGTAGCTGAGAACAAAGAAGAGAAAAAAATGTCATTAGTCAATACCAAGTAACAACTCTTGATTCAGTATCAATCTTTGAATTTTATTTATGTCTGTTTTGGAGATATGTTTTGTTATATTCAGAACAATGGGAACAAGTAAGCTTGAAGCTAACTTTTCTTCTAAATACGATCCTGGCTAAATGTTTGCTAAAATCTCCCTCCACTAATAGTATTTGGAAAGTATTAGGAGGTCCTAATCTGATTCTTGTCCTTCCAAAACTGGCTACCTCAGTGGATGATGCTCTGGTGACTCTGGAGAATTGACTATATCCATCTCTACCCGACTCTGTTATTCACTGGTAACTGCAGTGGCCGTTGGAATTGGTCATAATGAGAGCATTACACCATGGAAAGTATACAAACTTCCCTTTCCCTGCTCCTTGAGAGTTTGTAGTTAGGCATTTACTCTTATAGATCTGACCATCATTCTTAATCACAGATATCTGGTAATCAAAACTGACAGTATTTCCAGAACAGGTTACTATTTTGAGGAATATGATTCTACAGTATGATGTCAGGGCTGTTGAAAACTGACACAAAGGACATGATGTGCAAAATATCCCAGACTACTGACCCACTATGAGCAAGTTTTCAGGGTTTTCCAGAAACTTGGAAGAGAACTTCTTTCAACTCCCTTCAGTATCTCCAGGGAAAGTCAGGAATAATTATTAACTAGAGAATGTCAAATAAAAAGAGGAAAAGGGGAGGAAGGGAAGACACATTTCTCAAGAGAAACCTTTAAACTACCATCCTAAAATATCTTCATCATTTCATCTAACATCTCAGTATGGATTTTATATTAAAAAGCAACAAACTTTTAACAGATGTACTGACCTAAGGCAATAATTGGGAGGGGCTGATCTGGTCAATTTCTCGGGATCCTTCAAAAGGACCTCTCTGGACTTGTATGCTCCTTTCCCAAAAGCATATAGCTACTACTCTTATACAAGGCTGATGGGGATGTAAAACAATGCAACCATTTCAGAAAATTGTGTGGCAGTTTCTAATATTTCTAAGTATTCAATTCAAGAGTAATAAAAATTGCATATCCACACATTTACTTCACAGCCCCAAACTAGAAAAACAGTACATTTGTTGTATATAATCAACAACAGGATATTTGTGGTATAGTCTCATATTGGATTAAAATGAATGAATTATTGACACAATGACACGGGTGTATTTCAAAAATAATAGTTGAGCAAGAGTAATGCAAATGGTACATACTTTATGATTCCATTTCTATGAAATTCAAAATCAGGCAAAACTAATATATGATGACAGAAATCAGAAATGGTTGCTCCTGTCCTGGGGATGGATGGATCGACTCTGGGAAAGGTATGAGAGAACTTTCTGAGATGAGAGAAATATTCTAATTCTTGTTTGAAGTTGTGGATATACAGTTGTGAAAAATCTAAACACTTAAGATACATTATGAGCATTTTCTTAAATGTAAATTAGAATTCAATCGATATACAGATATAAGTACATTGAAATTATGAATCCAATCTACAGAGTCCATTGTACCTCTCTGGTCAGACCCATGGCTAGTGACTCACACTTTCTCTCAGCCCTTCTCAGACGTGCACTCCAAGCTCCCGAGATGTGGATTCGAGGCTTCCTCGAGGCTGCAAATTGGAAATATTGAGCAATCAGTCACAGGTCATTTCCCTTTGGCTTTCCGACTTCCCTCCACGCACTCTGGGCATCCCCTCTGGCTGCAAGAGAAAGTTTGGGAGGCAGGTTGAACTTTTCAACTTGGTGGGGAATTCCTCTCCCCACTACATACTTAGCAGCCTGGGCCGGGTGGGGGTGGGGTGGGGGCGTGGAGGTGGGGATGGGTCACCTCCCTGCCTCGTGAGTCAGGGGCCCCTCGTGGCTCCGCTCATGCGCGCTCTGCTCCTGGAGGGTCGATCGGACGCTCGTCCCGCATAAAAACGGCACCGGCTGCCAGACGGTGGCACGCCGCGCACCTCGGTCCGCCTGCGCTGTCCTGGGACGCCCAGTCCCGCTGCTCGCTCGGACCGGCACTATGGACTCCACTGGCCGCCTGGCGCTGATGTTTCTGCCCCTGCTTATGATCGGGGCCGCCCCCGGCCACCTGGTTCAGGAGCACATAGGTATCTGGCCCGGTCCAGAAGCGGTTCTTGGCGCCCGCCATCCTGGACCCCTCTGCCCCTCTCTTGGCCCGGCTTTCCCCCGTCCCCCGCTCGGCTTCCCAGTTGACAGTTGCTGGGACCCAACTCCCCGGGAAGCCTCCGCCTCCCAGGGGCGGTGTCTGACTCCCTCCGCTCTCTTCTGCCCTCCTTTTGCCCTCTCCTAGGAAATAACGCGGAGATCTGCCTCCTGCCCCCCGACGAAGGGCCCTGTAGGGCCCGAATTCCCAGCTACTACTACGACAGGTACACGCAGAGCTGCCGCCAGTTCATCTATGGGGGCTGCAAGGGCAACGCCAACAACTTCGAAACCTGGGCGGCCTGCCATGAAGCTTGCAGGAGGATCGAGAGTAAGTGCCTGGCAATGTCCCTCACTCCTCCCGCCCGCCCGCCTCGCCCCCGACGGCTGGGGGCAATTTACACACTCACCGGATCTCATTTCTCCGCTAAATTTTGTCCTAAAATCCCTCAAATGTTAAGCAGATCCCACTTGGCTTTTAGTTTTCCGAAAATGATCACAAATCTACAACCACTATACAGTTTCCCTCACCTAACTGACATCACTATTCAGTGCCCCCGCGGACTCTGGGAAAGAGGTTAGTTCAACTGGGGGCACAAAAATTCGAGGGAATTAACAGGGCACGGTGGAGCATGCCTGTAGCCCCAACGGCTGGCTCCGGAGGCTGAAGCAGGAGGATCGCAAATTCAAAGACAGCCTCAGCAATTTAGCGAGGCCCAAAGTAATTTAGGGAGGCCTGAAGCAATTTAGCGAGATCCTGTCTCAATAAAAAAAAAAAAAGGCTGGGCGTGTGGCTCATTAGTTAAAAGCCCCTGGGTTCAACCCCTGGTACCCAAAACACAAGGTGTGGGGAGGGAATGTATCAAGTGAAACATAAGTGCTTTTTTCTCTCCTTGAGAACACCATTTCCTTGTGTCAATTATCCAATCTAAAATATTTTTAGTGTTTTCAATTTATTTATTTATTTATTTATTTGTTACTAGGACTTGAACCCAGAGGCTTTACTACCGAGCCACATCCTCAGCCCTTTTTTTATTTTGAGACACGGTCTGGCTAAATTGACTAAGGACTTGCTAAATTGCTGAGGCTGGCTTTGAACTTTTGATACTCCTGCCTCAGCCTCCCAAATCGCTGGGATTACAGGCATGCACTACCACAGCCAGCGGTGGATTTTATTATTGTGATTTAGCTCATTATGTAACTTTTTGTCCTGATAAATAAACTTGTCTTGTGTTAAGTGTAGGGATATGGTGATTTACAAAACTCTGTCCAATTTTACTTGTTTGTTATAACTCTTCAAGGACTATATCAGGGCTTTGCCATTTAAGACTCTGAGCAGGGGGCATGGGTATTCATATAAACATGATTTGATTAACTTTATATGTAGAAACAACTAGAGAACAGGGAGTCTTTCCTCTGAACTTCAAAGATACAACACAACTGAGTCAAATCTGAATATACTCTTTAAAACAAGTCAAATCACTAGATTAATGGACAGTCTTCTGGGGATTTACTCTTCCAGTACTAAATGATTATTTTACCCCAATTTGTTTTCTTAAAAATTTTGATTGATTTTGCTTCATATGGTTGAAGGAGCAGGGTCTTGTGCATGGTGGATAAGCACTCCAACACTGAGCTGCATCCTCAGTGCCTACTTTTGACCAACATTGACCAAAAGGCTATTTTTGACCAACATTATTTTATTGGCTTTTTTTTCTGTAGAAGTTCCCCACATTTGTCGGTTGGAAGTCAATGAGAATATATGTGAGGAGCCCAGAGAAATGTATTTCTTCAATCTAATGACCATGACATGTGAAAAATTCATGTCTGTTGGTTGTAACCGTAATGGAAACCAGTTCTCTGATAAAGCTTCTTGTATGGACTTCTGTGCACCAAAGAAAAGTACGTACTATGTTTTATGGTATTTTTATTTCATTTTTCTATCAAGACTTTTCGATGGAAAAAAATCAATAAGTTGATGTGAAGTTAAGATGGTTTGGGTCCTGGTGATTTCATATATAATGTAATATCAACCTCAAGAATGCTTGTCAGGAGAAAAAGTATTTTGTCCTGATTTTTACTTTTGAGGATATAAGCTAGAAGTTAATGACTTGCCAAGTTCTCAGGGCTGGTAAGTGATGGAGCCATTATTCAAACTTTTGCTTCCTTTTCTGTGTTGTCTCTTTAAAACCACTGGTTGAGCATGTCTGATTAACCCAAAACTCTGAAATTCTAAATACTTCATAGTAGGAAACTTTTTGAGCACTGTCATGTTGTCATAAGTGGAAAATTCTACACCTGACCTCCTGTGATGGACTACCTTCAAAAAAACAGACACATTAAATAAAATATATAAAATTACCTTTAGGCTATGCATATAGGGCATATATGAAAAGAAGTGAATCTCATGTTTGGATTTGGGTTCCCTCTTCCAGATATCTTATATGTGTGAATGTGTGTGAAAATAGTCCAAAATTCAAAGAAATATGAAATGTAAAACCATTTCGTGTTTCAAGCATTTTGGATAAGGAATGTTCAACCTGCATTTCTCAATTTATATATTAAAAATTATAGTATAATCTAGAAGTTAATGATTTGCCAAGTTCTCAGGGCTGGTAAGTGATGGATGGTAAGCTTTGTGTGGAATCAGGTTTGCATATGAAACAGTGGAATATATACAGACTTCAGATTTCACTTAGATTTCTGTATTCTTTAGGAATTACAAATTGCTTCACCAAGAGTTCTCTATCCTTTTCCCTTTTTCTTTTTCTTACAACCCACATCCTCATCCTCAAACTCATAGGTGACTTGGTAAGTATTTTAATTTTGTGGAAAGAAATAATACATGCATTTCTCCCAGATATACCAAAGATACATTCAGTCATCAAGAAATTATGCTTTGGCAGAGAATTTGATTAAGCCATGTAGTTATAGTGTAGTAAATATGCAAAAGGGGGAAATGGTTGCTGCTGATGTTCTCTTAAGTCATTTATGTAGATGTTGTTGTTCCAATGGTTGGTAATTGGGAATATACACACACACTCACATATTGTATATAATCTTGATTAATAATGGAAGGAGAGCTGATAAAAACATTTAAAATAAAACTACCAACACAAAAAAGTTCACCAAAGTATGTCACGTTTTATCACTTTAAAACTTAGGGAATTTTTTTACTTGACCATGTCTGGTTTAGGCGTTTAATTTCTTTTCATATTTAAAGGATGAAAGGCATTCAGAAGGAATTCTGTCAGTTTACAAAATTAGAATCATCAAAAGATGGCACACAAGTTTACCTGTAATTTGAGACTCATCTTCTCAAATGGCTTAATATGATATTTTGAATTCAGAATGAAGCCTCTTCGGGATTAGATTACTTCAGAAGTCATCACCTTTTATTAATTTTTGTATTTTAGCATTTCTAATTTTATTTTCTTTTTCATAAAGGTCCAATATTTTGCTACAGCCCAAAAGATGAGGGTCTGTGCTCTGCTAATGTGACTCGCTATTATTTTAATACAAGATACAAAACTTGCATGGCTTTCACCTATAGTGGCTGTGGAGGGAATGACAATAACTTTATTAACATGAAGGATTGCACACGTGTTTGTGCAAAAGGTAGTGAATTTTTTCTTACTCAGTTTTTAAATAAACTTTATAAATAATTCATAAGCAAAATTATATTTTATGTATCCATTTTACTAATAGAAAATTGCCATTTCTAGACCAGTTCTACATAAATAGCACTTACGTGCTGATCTATTTTGTCCAAATGTTTATACTGGACAGTAGCTGTATACTAGTATTTTTAAAGGAAGAAGGTTATAAGCTGAGTGTATAAAGAACTTAACTGAATTTTTTGTCATCAATAAACATAAGATGAGTTGAGCTTTGAAGCATACTGGGAAAGGTGATTTAAAGTGAGCCTGCAGACAAAGACATATGTTGTTGATTGTTATTTTGTTGACTTTAGCATTGAAGAAGGGGAAGAAAAAGAAGATGCCAAGGCTTCGTTTTGCCTGAAAATTGAGAGGAAGCAATTTTAAGCATTTTCTTGTATGTCATCTTATGAATGCTTATTGTCTTTATGGTTCTATCTGAAGAATAATATGGGAGCATGAGGAAACAAATCAATAGTGATTCAATCACAGTTTTCATTGAACTTGTATCAATCAAGTTACTTCTTTATACATAACTTGCTGCTATTCAAATGTTAACCTGTCATTTTTAATTTACTGTCCAACTTTTTATGAGATTGAATTCTTACAGTGTATAAGATATAAAAACAAATATGATTCACCCAGTTCTTAGGGTTGCTAGTCCTAATTTCAGAAGGTGATAGTAACTCAAGTAGCATTAGACAGAATCATGTACTTTAAACATATATAATCATACAAAGAACTGGAAAATACATTTCATTATGAACTTAAAAAATTGAATTGTATATTAAACCCAAGGAGACAAAATTGCAAATTTACCAAGACTTTTAAAAATCATTCCAAATAATACTAACATAGACCCTACTATCTGTACTCCCATTTCTGTTGTGTGAAATTGCAGGGTGATGAGTAAGGGGATTTATTCAAAAGAC